TTTTTCTTTTTGCTTATGTGGTGCTGAGGAATCGAACCCAGGGCCTCAGGCATGCAAGGCAAGCGCTCTACCACTGAGCCACCTTCCCAGCCCCCTTTTATTTTCTAAAAGGACATTTTAACAACACAGAAGTACAAAGGACGTAGGCCCGAGATGATGGACAATAAATAACTCCTGCCGGCTCAGTGCTAGCCCCTGGCTGAGAGCCGCACAGATCACTGACTGTTGCAGGGGCCGCAGAGGCTGGTGGGCGCAGAGCACCCCGGGCGGGAGCTCGGCCGTGCTCTGACGAGTCTTGCTAGCCTCTTGGTGCTGGCGCAGAGTCGGAGCCCTTCTGTGTGCTTTGCCTTGAAGCTGTTGGAGCAGTTCATTGCGCCAGGGAGCTGACCAGGGCTGTGGGGTCGCGGGGAGGGGTGGGACGGGCCGCAGGCGCTTGCTCCACCCCTTCCTGGGCCCTTTCCCCAGTCTTGGTTCTCGAGGCAGGGGCTGCTGGGCGGCTGGTGGTGGTAGAGACTAACAGGATTTCTGGGCATTGGGAAACGCATGGGAGCAGAGGTCGTCCGCCCGTGTCCCTGGTCCGACCACGCGTGCAAGGCCCAGTGGCCAGAGTGAGGCTCCCCTGTGAGTCTGTGACACGTGTGCTCCCCTGTGAGTCTGTGACACGCGTGCTCCTGAGTCTGTGACACGCGTGCTCCCCTGTGAGCCTGTGACACGCATGCTCCTGAGTCTGTGACATGTGTGCTCCCCTGTGCGTCTGTGACACGCGTGCTCCCCTGTGAGTCTGTGACACGCATGCTCCTGAGTCTGTGACATGTGTGCTCCCCTGTGCGTCTGTGACACGCGTGCTCCCCTGTGAGTCTGTGACACGTGTGCTCCCCTGTGAGCCTGTGACACGCGTGCTCCCCTGTGAGTCTGACACGCGTGCTCCTCTGAGTCTGTGACACGCCTGCTCCCCTGTGAGTCTGTGACATGCGTGCTCCCTTTTGAGCCTGACACGTGTGCTCCCCTGTGAGCCTGTGACACGTGTGCTCCCCTGTGAGTCTGTGACACGCGTGCTCCCCTGTGAGTCTGTGACACGCGTGCTCCTCTGAGTCTGTAACACGTGTGCTCCCCTGTGAGCCTGTGACACGCGTGCTCCCCTGTGAGTCTGTGACACACGTGCTCCCCTGTGAGCCTGTGACACGCGTGCTCTGAGTCTGTGACACACGGGCTCCCCTGTGGGTCTGACACGCGTGCTCCCCTGTGGGTCTGTGACACGCGTGCTCCCCTGTGAGCCTGTGACACGTGTGCT